GAATTTTTAATGAAATAAAACTCATTTAGTGATTGACTAGGTAAGGGCTTCGAAATCCCAGCTTATGAGAAAAATTGAATTTTCGAAGTAAAATCAGTGGTCAGTTCTTCCAGAGACAGCCTCTTAAATATCTTAGGGGCCAGCCTGGCAACCAAGTATGAAAAGTTAGTCGCCAGTGAAAAAAATTTGGTGACCCCAGCATCACAACATCAAACTCTGTATCTTTTTGCAACATATTGATTACAATCCAGAATGTATCAAAATTATCAAGTGTTGTGAAAACAGTTACTTACTTGACTGTTGTTGATGGTCTTCCACTGTTTCAGATGCACCATCTGCTCCACATTCTCCAAAGCACTTCTGTTTATCCTGAGGGAGAGAATTTCTTTTGAACTCCGCTTTGAGATTCTGATTCTTTGCTTCATATTCCTGCAGCTCCCTCACCAGCCGGTCGATCTGTTCCAGGGAGTCACGCTCAGCAGCTGTGGCTATTACCCTCAGCACATGATCATCACTTGTGGGAGACAAGTCTGTACCGTTGTGTTCTGATTCTACCTCTGCAGATTTGTTGCTTGAATCATTGGTATTATCCACTCCACATAATCCGTCTTCAGTGCTGTTCAAATGTAATGGACGCTGATCTTCTAACTGATCTCTTGTTTCTGTACCTGGTTCATTTTTCTCCTGTAACACCAAATAATATCAGATGTTAAGATCAGCAAGATTGCATTTTAATCCACAGGGTCTTTTCATATTGTCAACCATCTTTGATCTCACTGGAACAACTGAGCTGTAATGTTATAAAGAGTAAATGAATTATCATTACCAGTATTATGAATCTTATCATCTATTATTATATCAATCAACCAACTTTTGTATACACTCAAATATAGACATAATATTAATAATATTAATATGGGGGAGAGTACTGGCTGCCAAAAATAATCAATGAGCTCCAAGACTATTATTAATAGATAAATAAAATATTAATGTGGTCAGGTCTTTGCTATAATACACAGACAAGATACACAAAACACAGAGACTAACTGTGCAGTAATATTTCAGTACATGAAAAAAAAAACATGCATACTGGCTATATGTACAAGTACCTATATTGATTATTAACTATTTACTCCCTAAGAGTGCCAATTGGTACACAACGTCATAACTTTGCGACTATTTGAGAGATTTCTAGGAATTTTTGCCATGAAAACTGTCATGTAAAAATCTACTCATTGACTCAATGACCCTCTCCTATCTAGGACATGGTTGACCACCCCAACAAGTTTCCAATTTCTGTTCTGAGATACACCTGGAATGCAAGACTTGTTTCACATCAAGCTATGCTCCAAGATCTGCTAAATGTGTAGTTCCAGAAAATATCCATACCCACCCCAAGGAAGGTTAACAGAAATTCCAAGGGGGAGGGGGGTTCAAAAGCCCAATGTTTTTAAAGGAAAGTATGGCACTAAAATGGAATTTCCAGCAGTGTGGGGGGATTCAAGCTAATAAACCTTCCATGGGAAGGGTATATGGATATTTTCTGTAACAATACAATAAGCCATAGTGTAGGAGTACACATACGATATTAATTTTTGATAGCTGAAACCTGTCATACGTTTTTCAGTTTCACATTTTAATGCAATTTCTCTCAAAATGACTACTGCCAATGTCAATTCTTAAATAAGTTGATCGGTGGCTTCCAAATGCTATATTGTTCACAAGCAAAGAGTCTTTATTTGTTGATTTGGGAAACACTGCCATTTGCCTTAGGGGGTGAAGGGTTTTAAGAAAAAATCAGTTTTATTCATATATTATTACCATCACTTCAATCACTTTGAATCTTTTATAGAAAAGGCGCAATACAAATAATAAATGTTATGTTATGTTATGTTACTTCATGGACCGAGAGGTACTCACATATTTCATAAATTACTAAATATCTTTCAATAACATCTATTTGCATTGTTTCTTGAATAAATAAGTTACTGGAGAGTGACTCATTCCAGTTTTGGTGCCCTGACATCTTAATACTGATGATTCCATAATATTTCTAGTTTTCTGATGAGGAAACCACATTTTTTAATAAGATTTATTGGGAAAATAATGGATGTCTACCAAGATATATATCTTAAATGGTGGGAGAAAAAAGAAAAGAGAATAATTGGACCCTGAGAGAAAGTTTCGGTCTGAAACAGCAAAATGAGAAGAACAATTCATGTAACTCTGTCAATCAGTTTGGAGACATTACATTAAATAATTCCATGAATGACATTCAATATATACATTTATTTTTTTTCTCAGTTTGCGAGTGGCAGAATTTAATAAATCCTCAATCTGATGGGTTCCAGGAGTAGGTCAAATTTTCCCATCTGGCCCGCTCAGGACAGGCAGAATCGTCATGTTGATTTCTTATTTTTCCATGAACGATTTAGCGGTAATCGTCAATCTTTTCCCTTTTTTACATATTCATTGACGATTTATCAACACAAGTTTGTCTCTATTATAAGTTTTAAATAGCAGGGAAAGTCACTGTAAATAAATGCAACTGTCATGAGTGTTTTTGAAGTTGCAAGAGTTTGTTTGGCTGTTTGTAGCTTCACAGGTGCTGTAAAAATCGTTTGTAATCCTGTATTTCTCTCAGCATGAAATGTTAAGTAAAAAATGAGTTAATTTCAGTTGAGTTTACCTCTCTGATTGTTGCGGTAAATAAGATAATCTCTGTGGAATACACCTAAATAACAAATTTCTTTGCTTTCTGCTATTCAACTTACAGTAGATAAAGAAAAGTCTGATTTCAAGTGATTCACAACGACTGATCACAGAAACCTCTTTAATTTGTAGTTCAACTTCCAACTTTGCACGAAATTTCACACTGGAAAAACATTTTTGCAGAACTTGACTGATGAACTAAATGCAACTAACACAAAGTAGTTCAAAACAAATTTGTTCTTTAATACCTCTTTCTTTGTCTAGTATCCGAGACTCACTCATTGTAAAGACTTTTTACATATCATTTATGGTACATGTAGACCACACATTGTAGACACACCGATTAAAAGACAAAGTTTCATAAACAAACCCATTTGTGATTAAAACCAATTTATTTTACTGCAGGGCAAAAAATAAACATGTTACAGTACTTGCTGCCTTAGGGTTAGTCGGTATAGGGGAAAACTGTGACCAAGGTCTTGAAAATGCTGTGAAGGCCACACCTCCCAGCCGGCAAATAACATATGAAGTATAATTTATCAAAGGTAAAAATACACATCCTTGTTGTCTTCATCATCAAAAATGACATTTGCAGAGAGCTAGTTAATGATCTTATGATCAGGATCATGCATGTAAATGTTGCGATACTCTCACTTTGCTTATGACATAAAAACACAAATTAAAATATAATGCTGGTGACATGTAACCACTACACCCTTGGACTTTGCTGTACACTGTTAACTTAGCTACCCATAAAGAATCCCATATCACAATTTAGGGCCATGAGCACTGACATTAACACAACCAACTGTAGAATGCAAATTACATAAATTCCACATGATTCAAGGCAAGGCAAGAGTGAAAGGAACACAACACTCTTACATGTAAGTCAAAAAGCAGTTGAAAATAGGGGTCTTGTATAATTATGGAATGTCAGATTACTTGATGGGGTGATTGTAAATTAAGAGCTCTAACACCAGATAGACTTTTGCACATATTTCGTGATTTCAACATTATTTATCAGCAGAAAGTCTCAGTTCAATATTTCGCATTATATACTATGTATTAGATTAGTTATTTATAAGCTGTTTCCTGTTGATGAATTTTACTGTGATTAAACAAAGATTGTCTATCTTTCTGCTCTAAATTGCAAACCATCTCTTAAGAATGCAATTATTATGATTGGGTTGCTTAAATTATGATAGAACAACATCATGTATACACTCTGCCATGTACAAGGATGCCAAATGTTCCAGGTTTGTTCTGGGGGTAGACAAAGGTCCGACCCACAGGCAATATAGGTGCAGCAGGGCTGTCATTAGGGGCTGTAACCCGGCCATAACAGCTGTTACGGCTGAGTTCACTCAATGTTACGGGTGAAGATGTCGATGGATGGTACGAACATGCTACACTTACCNATTAAATGTTTGCTGAGGTAAACAAGAGCTTGTCAGAATCCCTCCTCACAGCGGAATAGATACTTGAGTAGCGTAGCCAATCAGAGAGCCGCATTGGGAATATTTAACAATTATTCACCGAAGTGGAGGTAAATATCCATCACTTTCACCGACACTGAGGTGAATTATTGTTTTAGTATATACCACACAAGCTGAATAAGTAGCGGACCAAAACATTTTATGTCTGACGAGCGGCCGGAAATTTTAAAATCTCTCGCGCCGGCTGCTCGGAGGTGAATAGTAATCACCTCCGAGTTAACCAATCAGAGCGCGCGAAAAGCACTATTCACCTTGTGTGGTATATACTAAACGCTAATAGGTTTATACTAATGCATAATAAAGCTTTTCAAGTTATTACTAGAGGCACTTTCATTGGCCGGCAGTCAACCATTACGAATAGCGGGTGATATGCTTCTGAAATAGATAAAAACACACTATGCGGATACATCAAAACTTGCTTTTACATGTAAGGTTAACAACTTCAAAGTTCGTGACTCAGTTTATAGAGTTGCTATGACGAGTGTTCCTATTTTGTATCTGCTTGGGATGAGGCTGCTTCAGACACTGATTCTTCTGAGTATGCGTGTTCAGCTTTCCTCCGGAGAGTTATCATTGGGGCCCCGAGAAACCTACGGTGAGTGAAATCATATGGGAAAAGTTCATTTCGCCTCGGAGGTTCAAAAACTTAAATTTTCGGATATTCAAACCGCGAGTTAATTATCGAATCAACTTTATGCTATCGGAAGCCTTCGCCGGACATCATCACCAACCGAACCATCACGAAAGTTGGATGTTGTTTGTGGTTACTAATTTAGCTGGGCTCTCCGCTGTTTTCTCGTGTGGCAACAATGCAATTTTAGCTTTGAGATGTCCCAAGATTGTGCTGTTCTTGAAGCGGTCAGTGTAAAGTGAAGACCGTCTGACTGCGGACTGCAAACTGATGACCAGAGTATTATTTGGGCTAATCTGATTGATATTCAGGGAGCACGGACTACACTCCGATTAGCGTAAATGACAGCTAGGTTAGTCTGTTTACAGTTTAAGCTCTTGATATCGGAAGCAAAACGATATCCAGTCTACATTTTACCGTCAGTCTGCATATTCCCCCAGGTCGGCTAGTCTGCAGTCTACAGTCCGCAGTCTGCGTTTTACAATATGCAATTTTCCGTGTTCGATCATGATCAAGATCACGGCGTGTGAGGTTCTCGAACTCAGTTAACGTTCCTCCTATTAGCAGCTTTACAGCAAAGGTCCGAAAGTAACGAATCCCCGTAGCGATAAAATTTCGTGGTTGATAGCAAATCCCAAAGTAGCGACACAGAAAACAACGGCCATTCGGATCAAACATAATTTGACTTGCTAAACCAAAATTATCGCATATTTGGTTTATATAACCCTTATTTACGTTACCTTTCATGGAATTGCCTGCCTTTCTATTTTGGATTATTTTTTCGGTTGTTCTCTTCTTGACAAGTCAAGCAATCCATTTAGCCGAAAAAAAAAAAAAACTTTGTTCACATTCGCACAAACATTGTCACTGTACAAATACAATGGAAGCTCTCTTAAACGGGGAACTCCGGGAAGCGGACATCCCTACTTCACAAAGCCCGGTCTGAACTCCCATACAAACTCTGTATTTATTCATTTCCGTAAGCGGACGTGCTCGTAAACTTTGTTCACTTTTGTTCAAATATACATATTGTCACCGCATGTAGACTGATATAAACCCTTTCAGAATGGGCGCCTGAATTTGAATAACAATCTAGTTTCAGTTTCAGTTTTTGTATTATCGCACACTATTTACAGAAAAACCACTTAACGTAAGATGGTTTACAATGATATAGGAAAAATAAATACAGATAGAAATTACCTAGAAGAAACAATATTTAATTGTGTACAGTGACCTTAGTAGCCAATACAATACTTCGTAAATCCTTTACCTTGTACTTATGTTTCCAGACAAAGGATTTTTCACATGAATGTGAGGCTTAGGATGTCAAGGAAGTATTCTTATTCAAATTTAGGCGCTATTTATACAAAGGTTCATAGTTCTTTTAATTCAGCATATTTCAAAACGCACCTTTCATCATGTTTTTGAATTAATTTCTGATCTGAGCTTGTAAAGAACTTAGTTTTTATGGAAGAAGGCGTAACTACCATTAACGTCAGACTACCAAGGAATAATAATGTAAACTTGCAAAAGAATATGGTTTCGACACTGCTTGCTCGATTGAAGGAGAAAATGCAAAAGAAATTTGTATCAAAAGAGACTTTAGCTCGATGCTATTCTTGGACTACACGTGCACGTTACGTTATACTAGAATTGGTTCGTGACCTCTGGAATGAACAGAAAAAAAGATCGCCGTCTGGTGCCGCTGATTTCATGATTGCCTTGTGTATAAAGAATTGTTACTTAAAGGAGCTCAGTCAAGGCATTTTGAATCATTTTGGCCACGTGCTGAAAATGAACTTTAAATTGAAGGAAACTTGAAAATAGTATTTTTACTAAAATAGAAAAACATCAAAGAGCTAATAATGAATCATAAAGGAACAAGGATGGTTAAGAATTGTTAAGGATGGAGAAGATTCCGAATTTGAAAAATTTAGCCTAATTTCTGCAAGATGCTCAAACCGTGGCGTAGGTCCTTTAATACATTTATGAACCAAATTTCGTCCATCCATATGGATAGCAGAAACGTACATGTTTTCCTAACACCAATTGAAACAAAATGCTAGGTGCCCCTACGCGAAGTCTCTCAAATCCCCGTAAACATTTTAGATTAGCTAGAGATCAACACTGAGTAATAAAAAATTATCTCCTTTCAGATTGGCAAGCCTTCGTTGCCAACGAGGGTTACGATTGCTTAAAACGCGTTTATAGACAAGGCGAGTTTCCCATTGTCACCTACGATAAGACTTTTACACCCGACCAAGAAAGGGAAGTTCTCCTCGACATTTACACAGCAACAAACGGCCAGCAGTGGTACAACAAGACCGCGTGGAATAATTCAACAGCTCACTGTACCTGGTATGGTATCACCTGCCACAACAACACATACGTTAAAAGTATTGTGTTGGCTTACAACAACTTGGATGGTTCTCTTCCCTCAAATTTGTGGAAGATCCGGAACTTGATGGCATTGTGCACTCCTGGTAATCCAAGACTGAGGGGACGCATTGGCGACTTTTTGTTTGGAAATATGAGTAGACTACTCACCGTCGCGCTCAACGCAGCCTCTATTTCAGGAGATATTCTTGAAGAAATCGTCAAGCTGGGAAATCTACAGAACTTCCTGGGATGCACCATGCGCGGTGAGGGGTTCACTGGTCGTTTGCCAGACGACATAGGAAACATGACAGAGCTACGATTACTGTGTCTTGGAGGAAATAACCTAACTGGACAAATTCCAAGAAGCATTCCTAGATTAAAAAAGCTCTACTATCTGGACCTCCGAAACACACCTGGTATGATGCATGGCAATCTAAGTGACTTATTTTCGAATTCCTCGTTGAGTATTTTGTTTATGTCTGGGGTCAAATTAATTGGCGAAATGCCTTCAATGCTGCCAGCAAAATTATCAACTCTCGTCCTTCCTGGAAACAACATTTCGGGCCAATTTCCTCAAAAAATTCCGGAAAATAACAGCCTTGTACAGCTAAACGTGGCAAACAATCAACTGACAGGGGATATCCCAGGTCAGTTGCTTCTTTTTCCAAATATTGGAATGATCGATTTGTCGCAAAACAAGTTTTCTTCTATTAACAATGGGAAGCCGTGGTCAAAAAATGTCAGCGGAGGAGCTAAATCGTACGTTTCGCTGGCAGGAAATAGAAATTTGAACATTGAATTGACAAGCTTTATGGAAATTCTTGTCAAGGGAGGTCCATTAGTTTTAAATTTGAGCAATTGTGACATAGAAAGTCCTTTGCCCGCAGACTTGTTCTACTTTGACCGCATGACTACCTGCGATTTACATAAAAACAGGTTTTATGGAGAGATACCGGATATTTTTGTCGACACATCCATCCTGACTTATTTTGACATCTCCTCGAATAACCTGTCTGGAAGCCTTCCAGTAGGGATCCGAGATCTCATGTTCCTACAATATTTGGATATTTCTGGAAATCCTTCTATGCGAGAAGCAACTAGAGCATCGTCGCCCGTCTTTCGTCCTGACTTTTCAAGAATGTTCACACCACCTCAAGCAGATAATTTCACTTGTCCTGAAGGACGGCTCACAATAAGCAATGGCCGCATCCGACTGGATCCAACATTTTACGACTACAAGCATTGCGTCTGCGATACAGGTTTCTACGGAGATAGCGGACTGTGCAAGAAATGCATGGATGGTGGGACGTGCCCTCAGTTTGGCTTCACTGAATCAAATGATCTCCACCCAAACATCATGACATTGCGAGGTGGCTACTGGCCCTCACCCACTCCTAACAATGCCACCCATCTGGCCAAGTGCCCAGTGTCAGCTGCATGTAATCCATCAGATTCCTGCACATGTCGCCTCGAAACAACACCAAAACACACAAACTCGTCCCACTACAGACCTTCAGTATCATCACTGATCACAACATGCAATCAATCCTGCATCTGTCATCAAGGAAACACGGACAGGTTTTGCTCTCGTTGTCAAGACGGATATTATAAACTTGGTGGACTGTGCTTCAAATGTGCTAAGGGCGACCTAATTTACTACTATCTGTTTATTCCTTCCTTTGCTGTGTCATTCCTTGCTTTACTTTGGTCATATTTTTACTTCAAGCTGAAACCAATCAAATGGTTTGCAGTTACGGGAGCTCATTTTCTGTTAATGTTAACCTTGATGTTGTTGGAATTACTGCCAGCGTGGGTTTTCAAATTAAATCTGGTGGTCTTTGTGCTGTGTATGACCAGTAGAGGAAAAGTTGCCCAATCTCTCATCAACATCACAGTGTTTTATATCCAAACCATGGATTTTATGATATCCAGTGTCAATGTTTGGCCTAAAAAAAGTCGTAGTGGCTCAGACGTACTTGAGTAGCTACTGGAACCTTTATTTTCCTTCGCTTTCCTACGACTTACCTTCCTTTTTCACTCCCGTTGGTAAGTTTGCTTTTCTGCTTCTTCTTCCAGTTGCCTGTATGGCAATGATAGGTTTGTATTTCATCATCTTGATGATTTACGACAGGTTCCGTCCACACCAGCGACGCATGGAAAACGTTCATTTCAAATGTCGTCAAAGTGCCTTCTTTTGCCTTAACTTCAGTTACTTTCCCATTGTCAAGCAAACTCTCTCCATTCTACGCCCATGCCACAATGACCGTGATGTTCTTTACATGCCAAACTTTCCCTGGATTGAATGCACCTCTCACACTTATAAGACACTGTCAGCCCTTGGTGTCGTCTCTGTTGTTTTTTATCTTATTGGGTTTCCCTTGCTTCTCGTTTATCTGATGGTTGTTTCCTTTCGAAAGAGAGACATCATGAGTCCTGAAGATCGCCAGAAACTTGATGCTTGGCTTGGTCCTGCTTATTTACCCTACAAACCAAAGTACCAGCACTTCTTCGAGATTTTCATGCTTCTTCGACGCTTGCTACTCGCCATAGCGTTGTCTATGATTTCTTCTTCCTCTTCTTTGCAAACGTTTGTGGTTTGGCTGATACTTATGATTTCAGCCATTCCTTACCTATGTTTAGAGCCCTATAACAAACGGTCCATTAACCGATGGGCCCAAGAGAATTTTTTCGAGCCCCTGGTGTTGTTCGTGTTGTCCATGTCTTTTATGCTAGTGAGGTTTTCGGCTTTGGACAGCTCCTACAAAGTTGCATTCGTCTGGGTTGTGATGTGTGTCAATTCATGTGTTCTGGTCGTTCTAGTAGGTGTTATTTTGTATCTTCTTGTTGTCACTGGAAATAGTGAAGGCGATGCGAGTGCAAGAGAAGACGAAAGCCATAACGATGACGATAGACGCTGCTTGCTGCCTGTTAACGAGCACCCGGGTAACGTGTCTATGGATGACTCTGCCTGAAGCGTTAGCCTAAAAAACGCTTTCTCTTATTTAAGTTTAAGCTCAAGATAACGGAAAATAATTGTAAAGGTAGAGCTTAATGCCTATGTGAACGTTATTCGACATGGAACAAGGTTTAAAGTATAACTTAAGGTTCTGTACATACTCATTGATACTGCTGATAGCTTCAACAGGTGCATGTTTATAACTTCAGGCTCTGAATATATTTACATGAACCCAAAAGTTCACCATCGTCCTATCGTAAATGAAGGGAAACCAATTAAGAATCGTAATTGATGCTGTCAAACAAAAAAAATGCTCGTAAAGTGATAGGAATCCATGAGGAAGTATGTGAGTTGACGCTTACCAAGTTCCCCGACCGCGTACAGGGGTTTTCTTTCTTTTTCTTCAACTTAAGCAGAAAAGACGTGGCGATAAAAAGCTCCTCAAATACCAGAGTAAATCGAGCGGTTTTCACTTGAGTGTCAAAAGTGATTCGCGTTTGCTTTTGTCTGCGTTACCATACTACATGACTGGCTTGGGAAACTCGCGCTACTTTGTCGTCCCATCAGAAGTAAAACAACAACGATCGTGACTCGCGGTTACATGCTTTCTCGTACTTCGCATCAGCCGCATGAAATTATTTCGAGTTTTGATTGGTTCATTGGATTGTTTGTGTCCTTTGTTATTGACTAGAGTTATTATTTTGGTTTTGGTTTTACGACACTCAATTGAGAAACGCTCCAAGGACAATTTCAACTGCCTAAATTCACCAATCAAAGGCTACGTAAGCCAGCTCATGGATGAATAGTTGACTTTTGCCTCTGTGACAAAACGAGTCTTTGTGCAAAACTATTCGTATGAAAATGCAGGTCACCTGTACGTTCATTCTCTTGAAAATCAAGTCATTTTCATGTGAAATGTTTTGCACGAGCATTCGTTCTAAAAGAGGCAAACAGCAACTCCGAAGTGGAAGTAAAGTCTGCATATGAGCCCATCAGATCGGAGCTTATCCCGGTTTCTGTAGCATGAAGTGATTAGGAGTATTTCTACTCCCCCCTGGATGGGATACTAGTCCATCGCGGGGTTACCCCGCAATATTTAATTTGCCAGTACTTATTTATACACTTGAGTGGAAAGAGGCACTGTGAGAGTTAAGTGTCTTGCTCAAGAACACAATACAATGTTCCCAACCAGGGCTCGAGGCCAGGCTAATCGAAATAGAAAAGAAATACAAAAATCAAATAACAGGTTGTTAACACAGACAGCTTATAAATTTTAAAATGGATGATTATTAATTTTGACTGGAATTAGAACATTGTTATCATATTAACTTATACATGATGTAGTGTCAAAGAATAACAACTGTCTGTTTCAAAATGAAATCATTAAATGAGAGTTCACCATATTTACCAATCAGTCCAAAATTGACAATATAATTATGTATATGAGTCAGCAGTGCATTTTGGGTCAAGATAAATTGGTTATGATCCTTGTTCAGTTAACATTATGAAACACCTGTATGATTACTATTATGCAAACATTACAATACATGATTTTGAATTTATTTTAGACAATCAACTTGAGAATGCTAGGACTGCCAGGAGTGTTTTGCCTACTTAAGTGAGACATGGATATTGGAAAAATCTTGTTTACTTTAAGCTAAGTCAAACATAAACAATTTGATTGTAGCTTGCGGGTAAACAGGAAATCTATAAAAAAAAAAAAGTATCTCCTTCAATATTATAAGAACTAGTAGTAATCGTAGATTAAAGAGTGCGTTCGAGTTTTGGTAGGCTTGGTATGTTAAAAGAAACAAAACTTCTAGGGACAGCATTTTGTGCCTGAGCTGTTAGGTAGGCGTGAAACTGGTCTCCCAATTTACTATCTCTACAGTCTGACCAATTCTGTGGTTTATATTTCAATTGTCAAGCCCTTGGTGTAAAGATAATTTTAATCAGCGTATTAACATATAAATGTAGTGATCATAATTCCCATAATGCATATGAACGTTTTTAGCTGCGGAACGTGTTTCAAAATTCGTTTTAATCCAAGTGTTAATTAAGTGCTAGTTGCACTTTAAACTGTCATCTGCAGAATAACAGTGAGAGCGGTCATTGTGTATGTTTGTCATTGTTATGCCGACCAGTTTAATAAAGTGAAACAAAATGATCTGCCTGTCAGTGTGTGTATATTAAAAAGAGGTGTAGATCACAGAAACATTGTGTAATCCTTCAACACAAGGGGATAACGGCATTTATGAGTTCATGCTTTGATTACGTCGGCTATAGGACAAGCAAATCAGTGAGTGTTAAGTAGCAGTTAGTTTGCCGCAGGCTAAAAGCCAAACTACGTATTGTGTTTACACAAAAGAATGATAAAATCTAGTTGCTACATTTCAGTATGTTCGCCCATAATTGATTTCTAAACGGAGTACATATCCCTAAGAGGTTCTTCAACCTCCAAGGTCCTCGAACGTTCTTAATTTTCTAGCTTGTTTTCAAGCAATGCGGTATCATCCGTGGACACTCACCCCAAGAGAAATTCTTATTTTATACTCTGCTTCTTTTTCTACTTAACTGACTGTGCGGTATTTAAACAAGACGCTCAGAAATGCATAACTGTCCTTATTATCGAAGCTGTGTGGTTGAAACTGGTCACATGACATACGCGTTTATGTATTCGGAAATCCAGCGTAAGATTGTGTGCGTCGTCGGTATGTTATAACAATTTTTTCAGCCACATCATTACGATTATTAACTGCTCCTGCAGAGTGAGAATCAGCGGCACTGCTAACACTTCTTGATCGTAATCTTGTATCGCTGGCAGCCACTGTAGACAAAGAGTCTTCTGAACTCGGTAAAGAAGGCAGCGACTTCGAACTCCCAAAGGAATCCCTCCTTTCAACCGATCTCTTAGGAAGCCTCAAACGAGCGCTGCTTTCGTACCGGAGAGGTGGTAAAGTAAAGGACGTTTTCCGTCCTGTTTTGTACTGCAATTCAAACCGATTTCGCGCGGCTTTGAGCTGACCAGTTTCAGCTTCGAACTGTTTGAGAAGCCGACGCTTTTCTTTCTGTAAGCTCTGTTCTTCGCGTGAATTATCAGCGTTTGCTCTTCTCCAGCTTGCAGAGGCCAGCATTTTCTCCTCTTTTGATAATGATGTTTTCATCATGAAAACAGTACGATGTTTTTATTACATTCCACTATCAGCAAATAACACGGACTAACCCCTGCAGGCAACTACAACAAGCATTTTCGACTAAATAACAAGGTGCAAGAACAAAGTATTCATAAGGCATGACCACATAATATTTTCCTTGAATTTTAATATGAAAAGCACCGCAAGGCTAAAGATAAACAAGTGACAACAAGGGACTGACCCGTAAAATTAATGTAAGTAACAAAAGCCACAAACCGATATGAAGACGGATGGATGACATATTTGTTTTGCAAATACGACACAATGCTCGACTAGTCTTCAAACCCTCTGACGAATATAACGAGAGCTGAAAAGCCCTGAAATGTTCAGCATTAAAAGCATTAAATACGCTCCTTAAATTAAAGAGTTAATTCAGGCGCCTCCAGGTCAACAGGTCTGGAAGGGATAAGGAAGGGAAATAAAGAAAAGACGTTTGCTGCCACTCAAAATAAAGACCTGCTACCAGGTATTTTGCCTAAATGAACACTGTTACTGGTGATTATTTCAAAAGGGGATTATTGTTGCCGTGGCGTGAGTTACTTTTATAAATTCAGTCAATTTTAACAGTTACACCAGGCGGTCAGTCCCGGGATGAACAAAGATTCAGTTTGCAAAGAAAGTGTTTGACCTGCATCGGCAGGCAAGTGTGAGGGGAGAATTTGCCGATATTCATAACCATAAAAAAGCCAACAGTTAGCAGTCAAGTGAAAGTCCAATAACCATGGTAACCACCTGTCTATCTGTATCATCGTGTAACACCTTGTAGTGAGAACTACCTGAAGTTGTAAGAAGTTAATATTTGCGAGCAGAATAACTGACTGCCTATGATGGAATAGCCTAGAACAACAATGTGCTCATTGGCAGCCAATAAGGGTTTAGGTTTACTAAAGGAAATATTAGATCACTTGTTTAGAGTCTAGCATAAATACAGGTGTTTTGTAAATTGTTCTTCGGTTACGCCCCCGGTGGTGGGACGCCGGATACCACTATCCCGTATTGGTTATGTTTTACGTTCTGAGTACGTTACTGGATTAAACTCTACTGTTGGACCCAAGTAACTGCGTATTCTCTGTCTTCCCGTTGGTTTGTTTCGCTGTAACAGATCCCGAAACCTCTAGGAGTCTGACAAACTCCGTCGCTGCAAGCATGTTTCCCTCTGGATTGTTGTAACAAGGATAACAACCGTAAGTGGCCCAAAAAGCTGTTATCACACAAGTGCCGGAAAAACTTAGCTATTTTTCAACTTGAAGACGATAAAAGTAAGTTAACCGCCGTGGCCAGTTAGTCAAGCTGACGTTTGAGCGTTTAATAGCTCTGTTTGTCAGAGCAAAGTGACTTTACTCTGCTAAAGGGCTAACTCACTTTACTCTGCCAAAGGGCTAACTCACTTTACTCTGCCAATGGGCTAACTCACTTAACTTTGCCAAAGGGCTGACTCACTTTACTCTGCTAAAGGACTGACTCAATTTACTCTGCCAAAGGGCTAACTTACTTAACTTTGCCAAAGGGCTAACTCACTTAATTTTGCCAAAGGGCTAACTCACTTTACTCTGCCAATGGGCTAACTCACTTTACTCTGCCAAAGGGCTAACTCACTTTACTCTGCCAAAGGGCCACTCCCTTTGCTCTGCCAAAGGGCTACCTCACTTTACCCTGCCAAAGGGCCAACTCACTTTACTCTGCCAAAGGGCTAACTAACTTTACTCTGCCAAAGGGCTATAACTTCCTTTACTCTGTCAAAGGGCTAACTCCCTTTCCTCTGCTAAAGGGCTAACTCACTTTAACCTGCGAAAGGGCTAACTCACTTTACTCTGCCAAAGGGCTAACTTAGATAACTTTGCCAAAGGGCTAACTCACTTTACTCTGCTAAGGGGCTAACTCACTTTGCTCTGCTAAAGGGCTAACTCACTTTACTCTGCTAAGAGGCTAAATCACTTTGCTCTGCTAAAGGGCTAACTCCACTTTACTCCGCTAAGGTGTCAACTCACTTTGCTCTGCTAAAGGGATAAATCACTTTGACTTGAAGCAATAAATTGTTAATTTAGCCTGGTGGCCTCCTCTCAAAGTTATGGCTACTCTTTATCTTTTTTCTCTTTAAAATCAACTTTGTCCTAGGACATTCTCGTCTTGACTGTAACGGGAACTAATGATGACTGGAGGTCAAGAAATCTTGCATCTTTCAAGGGAGACATCGACAAGCTGTGCTCCGCCCCTAACTCTGAATTTCCTCTAACAAGATTGCTTAATTTTCACGTTTCAAGAACCCATTGACGACTCTTTGCTTCCAAATAATCTCGTCCGTACGAGTTCTCCAAATACGGGTTTGCTTCTCAGTTGGAAGAGGGGTGGGAACGAAGCACGATTCCTTACTTACTCGGCTACTCTTGAAGACTGTCATGCTTTCTTGGCGAGAAGGAACCGAACCATAAGAATTTTCTGCGTCAAAATTATTGTCCTGACTATCAGTATCCTCCTGGACAACTACTGCAGTACAGTTTTTACATTTTTTCATATTAGTGTCATGCGCTGTTCGGTCGGGTGATCGGTAAAGGAGTGATGTATGAATGGCGTTATACAATTAGGGAAAACCGAGCCTCGCCTTCCATCCCGTCCATCTCTTTCAGTGTTTTCTTTAGAACGTAACGTTTTGTGACTTACAAACACTCTAATGTCTGTTGGAAGAGTTTTATTTTTGCTCGACATGAATGGAATAATTCCTCCTTTCTTGGCTGTAGTCCTTGTAACTTCCTTTTCAATTGTTGCGACGGCTTCTGATGTGAGGGGAGAATTTGCCGATATTCATAACCATAAAAAAGCCAACAGTTAGCAGTCAAACTGAATGAAAGTCCAATAACTATGGTAACCCCCTGTCTATCTGTATTATCGTGTAACACCTTGTAGTGAGAACTACCCACTGAAGTTGTAAGTAGTTAATATTTACGAGCAGAATAACTGACTGCCTATGATGGAATAGCCTAGAATAAGCTCATTGGCAGCCAATAGGAGGTTAGGATTACTGAACAAAATATTAGATCATTTGTTTAGAGTCTAGCATAAATACAGGTGTTTTGTAAATTGTTCTTCGATTACGCCCCCGGTGGTGGGACGCCGGATACCACTATCCCGTATTGGTTATATTCGGGTTACGTTCCGAGTACGTTACTGGATTAAACTCTACTGTTGGACCCAAGTAACTGCGTATTCTCTGTCTTCCCGTTGGATTGTTTTGCTGTAACAGATCCCGAGTCCTCTAGGAGTCTGACAAACTCCGTCGCTGCAAGCGTGTTTCCCTCTGGATTGTTGTAACAAGGATAAYAACTTAAGCGGCCCCAAAAACCTGTTATCACACTGACGTTTTTCTGACCTGTTGATTGATTCCAACATTTGTCTCAGTTCTAGAGGGACGTTGTGCTGTGTCGGGGATACGAACCATTTTCCCTCCTTGAGACCCATAATAGAATCAAACACACGACGAACTTTCCATGTTACGAGTCTGTTTGAATTCTTGTCTCGTGTCATTTAGTCTCCAAGAAAAATCGTTTTTTCCATTTTCTTTTGTGAAATTCAATGTCTTCCAATTTATCAGTCACTACTCTAGTTTCATAAGGATTCTTTTTCAAGACGGCTTGGCCCATTTTGCTGATCGACACATTCTGGATTGTTTGGAAAGCTAAATGTTTCTGAAGTGACTTTTTGCGGCTCATCTTGATACAAATTAATGTGATCAACTCAAGACGTTGAACCCAATGATTTGTTTCTATGAAGACAAGGGTAATACCAAGGAAGTTATTAGCAGCCAACAAGATTTCAAACGGAAAGTAAAACAATGAGTTTTTACCAAGAGCGAAGCCTTACATGTGTAACTAGCCGGTAACTAAGTGATAATATCTTTATAGAACTCATTTATGGCGCATTTGGGACTAAAGAATGAATGCCAGTGACAAGTACAGTATCAGCCCCAACACATTAATTAGACATAAATTACACTGAGGAAGCCCCGATGCAGATATTTAATGGTGGACAGTTCTTGACTTGAGCTGAATCGGCTTTAATAAGTTTTCACTAATAGGACACAGAACAGTTTTTCTAAATGTGAAACGCGCTTGGCGATCGTGATCGTTATCTACGATATGACTGAATGAATATACGTTAAAAGGTCATCGCACGACGCAACGTGAAAACAAGTCTGATTAAAAGTGTTGTACAGAACTCAGTACAGAAACTTCCAACGCGCCGAACATAGCCGTCTCCCCGAGTCCGTATACCATATATATCAGCAGGGGACTCCTCGAATGCCTCTTTGGGTTTTGGCCTCTCTGGGCTGAAACCCTGAAGGGGCAACTATTCAAAGTAAAAAATCTAAGTTATGTCCCACGTCAACTGAATAACTTCCCCAGTGAAAAGTTACAGATAAAAGATTAGAACTGGGTTACAGAGAGGCGACCCAGAAAAATAAACTATGTCTATTTCTATGAAGCCAAAAATAAAGGAAGGAAAACCCAACAGAAGCTTAAACAGGTTCATCTTTTTCTATATCGAAATATTGTTTTACGCGCTCGAACTAAGTTTTTTACGGCACAATAATCACATATAACTGAGTAACTGAGTTCGGAAGGTCGTGGGTTCAACGTCTTCCAGAGACTCAGTGTTTCTTTTTCTTTATCCCATAATCGTGTCGAAAAGAATGTTTTATGTTTTGGATAATATCTATCTTCAGTTTTTTTCATTTGAGCCAAGATCAAACCTGGGTAAACAGAAAAGAAGGAAAACCTAAAAGCCCAAACTAGTTTATTTCATTTTCGCATTTTCGAAATGTTGTTTTATTTACATGAAACATTCTGTAAAGTAAGTAAGAGACTTTATTTTATGACGGTAACACTCAAATCTATGATTTGAGCGTGAATAAGTGCTTTAAGAAGTGTTTCAGTGTTTGAAGCTCAGCTTATTGTTTGTTTGTTTGTTTGTTTGTTTGTTTAGTAATTCCTTGGGTAACCAAGGCTCTATAGGGTAATCATTTATAGCGTTGCGCGCGCAAGTGTTATGTTTTGAATGCTGTTTTTACATTCGCTTTCACACCTAGTCCTCTCAAACTTATTACATGTAATAAGCAATGATTAAATAGTGTTTTGCTATCATCTCTGTTAAAATTTTGGGATTTAGCCTTAAATTATAAATGCCCAAACAAAAGTGTTTTTTACTGTTTTTATGGCTTTGTTTGTGATTTTCATGAATTTCCTTCGGTGAAATCTTCCAAAATTTTTACATCACATCGCCTCCAGCGGGATACAAATTTTAAACACGAAAAAAGTAGGGTTTGTAAAGGCAGTTTTTTCGATATTTTCAAATTTATGTCTTTTACCACTGCAAAAAATCTGGCCTTATAGATTTCCCTGAAAAACGCGCTCCGACAAAAGTAAAATATTTGCTACCAATCTGCCAAATTTTACGGAATWTTACCGAAGGAAACGCGAGAAAATTCACTGTCAGTTTTTCTTTTTGTGCTCATGTTGACGTAATAAAATATCGAAAAACACTGACGTTTACCTTTGAGCGCGCGCAGATTACTTCCTCAGCGCTCGCGCGATCGTAAAACTATAGGGAGCCACCTTAAGACAGTGTTAATGCTCATCGCTTCTGCACGCATTGCGTGCCACTCATTTTAAAGGGAGTTAGCTCTTCTGAAAATGTAAATTTCGCGGATTGTAAACGGCTTATTGAGAGTGGTGGAAACCGAATAATCACTTGAGCCACAGATTTTGTGTAATTTTTCACAGCTGGACTAAAAATTATTCTATTTGCTTATTGTGCGCTATGTACAATACTACAAAATGGACTCTTCATCCCCCCTTGGAGTTAGTTTGTAAAAAGTGTCACGCTGTTTCGGTCTCTGTAACGGATGAGCAAGTAACGCTGCCATGTGGTCAAAGAGACGAGTTGTGCTGCGTGACACTTCCAATATGTAGCCTTCTTCCTCTTCATCCATGTCACAGAAGTAATCATAGATTTCCTGCAAAATTTACAACATATCAGAGCTTATGTTCTTTTTTGAAATTTTTTAGCCAGCGAACGTTTTTATCTTAATTTTTATTATATTAGAGTCAGTCGTTTCACCACAATAACAGACCCTTAGGTTAAAACATCTTTTGTGGACAAATAAATCTGCAGCAGAAATATCTGACACATGCAGTGCATTGTATGCTTCAGCGCTCAGCTTCCAGTTTACCCTCAGTGCTAAAATATGAAGAGATAATATTTTTATTGAGAAATGGCATGCAGTAATCAGTTTGATGTTCAAGAAAATTTGGAAAGTGACAAGTAACTAAGGAGATTCCAAAAACAGAGCAATTAGCTGTGCTGAACACAAGTCTGCATCAGAAGCTACCTAATTACTTACTTTGCACAAATTAATTTCCGATGGAAGTTCGTGAACGTATAGAATGTCAAGAAAGAAATATGGAGATTCCAGCAGTGATGATAATACCTGTAAATAATAATTGAGAGCCAATCAAGGAAATGGAGAGCACATTCATATGGTTTATTGGTCTAACTCAAGCTGTTTATTGAACCAATAACTGGCCATCAGGGGAATGTGTGTCATTGCTTATCAGGCATACTTGGTAGCTTGTCACAAAGTAATCCAATCATTTACTGTATTTGTCTCAAAAGTAACCTGGATAATTTCAATAAAGTAATCTCCATACTAATTGCAATGCAGTTCTTTTCATATTAGATTGGAGAAATAAAAAATATATCAGAATAGCTGCAATGGTTTCTTGTGTCTGCTGAACAATGTTATGATATTGTACAATGAGAGGTTAATCACTTGATTTTAAATCTATAAAATGATAGATGAATAAACTCTCATAAACATACCTGCTTGGCTTGTGTAGACACTCGAGGCATACAGTGCGAGCGTCCATACACTATAACAAGTCGAACCACATAAGGAGGAGGCAGCAAAATGTCTTCTACAAGTGGCAACATAATGTTGTCATGCCTAGTTATAAGCAAAGACAAAGCAATAATAACAATAATAATATTATGTAACAATACAAAACAGTGAATAAAAATGAAACATCATTTTAGAGAGCTTACTAGTAGGCAGGCGCAAAATCAAATCACGACTAAAGTAATACTTACACTGCTTCAAAAAGATCACACATTTTTGAAGTAACAGTCAAGATAAATCAACATAATTTTCAATAACAAGTTTATTGTATCGCCAAAAGTGCTGCAACTCAGGAAGAAGATAAGCAAAATCAGTTTACTGCAGCTTTCAATAACACACAAGCATTGAAGTTCAAAACCTAAGTAACATTGATTGTAATCTACGGATCACAACCCACAGAGAAGACCTTTTAAACCTGTTGAAGTCAACTCCTCTTTACTGACAGGTCTGTTATGATGATTGATGCAGAAAAACACAAAATAAGTGATCAAGCACAGTTCACATTTTCTTGTAAGGTGCAGTACAGTACATTTACATTGCAGAAATGAGATAACTGCTATTTTGTGTGACAGAGCTAAGAGAGCTTTTAGTCATGACTACTTCCTACTTTTCAGTCAGGGATAATCAAGTTGACTGCTCTTCTGAATTTATTTAATTGTTTATTATACTTTATTAGCATTATCAAATGAAAAAGGGAACTTTCACTACAAATGTTGTAGATGCAGAGAAATCAAGAATGGCCACATGTTTGATATCCTATGGTTTTATGGAATGTTGTGTGCAAAAGTTACAAACTTGGGTCTGCAAATGGTGAAATATGGAGAGAAATCACTTTTGCAAATTCTAATTTCTATTGGCAATAGTTGGTTTTCATTTAAAACAATAATTTGTAATAGCTATCAGAAGCCAGTGATGAATGTTATGTTCTTGCAAGAATAACTTAGGTTTACATGTACTACAGTCTTTCTTTCACTCTCACTGATGCTAACCAAAACATTTTTTTAGCAATAAATCATTTTCCTACATAAACCCAAATGGAAACAGAAATCAGTAACAACAATAGAATCCATTTCTTTGTACATTTATGACTGTTGAAAGTACTTTTTCCATAATAGTATTATAATAAAAAACTATTTTAAAGGATATGGAATTCATTCTGATTTTGAATTTCCTCCTCCGGGTATAGGTGATTCAAAGTGCTGCAGATAGTTTCCACATCACTAGTGAAATGCTTGTACTAAAGATGCATGAAGAAAAAGTAATAATTAACAAACTTTTACAATAAGAAAAATAACAAAAATGTTCTTTCCATATATAATCACTTAAAGCAATAGCCAACAAGAGTGCCATTTGGCACACAACATCATAACTTTGTGAATATTTGAAAGATTTCTATGAATTTTAGCCATGAAAATTGTCTTGTAAAGATCTGCTCATTGAAGGCATAGAATTGTGACCCCCTCCTATCTAACATATGGTTAACCGCCCCCTTAATTTTAAAATTTCTTCTTTGAGATGCACATGGAATACAAGACTTGTTTCACATCAAGCTATGTACTAAGACCTACTAAATAAGCTACAGTTTGGGGGCATACCTATGATATTTGAGAATTGATATGTGTTAGAAGCTCTTCATTTTCACATTTCAAAACAATTTCTCTCAAAATGACAACCTCCTTCTTAGTTGCTAATGTCAGTTCTTAACTAAGCTGATCAGTGCCTTTCAAATGGTATATTGTACACAGGCAGAGAGCCTCTATTTGCTGATTTAGGAAAAACTGTCATTTGCCCTAGGGGGTGAAGGGTTAAAGAATGTTTTCCCATGCTTAGATCATTATCATGAGGGGATGCAAGCGGCGAAACTGGAAGTACCACAAAGGATTGCCTGAAAAGTTTCCTAGCACTCCCAACATACCTAACCCCAGGTGAGCCGGGCAAGGTGTTGCAAACTGTTTTACTGTCATATAAATTTCGTCAGATCTGAAGGACATCAGATGAAGCAAAATAAATATGAGAAGAGAGAAATACAAAGGGCCAACTGATACACGTCATCAAAATGTAATTGATGCGTGCTCTTGTCTGAAGCACAAGCAATAGTTTCTTTATTCGTTTGGGCCCCTTGTGTGATGGACGATAATAATGATTACTCAATTTTAAAGTACTTTATCTACACACTAGATGGATGGTACCATTAAGACTCAGAACAGTTCAAAGTGGATCTTGTAGTGGAAGCTATGGACAGTGTTTTCATGCTCACAATCTGAGCATACCTGATGTGTTTGCAAACGATTACTGGTAATGCTGTGTTACATGACAATTCAGGCTATGTTACATCGAACTGTATGAAGTGGGCCACTTCTGATGAACAAAACATTAAGCTGCATGATTGTTTCTTTTGCATTACATCAAAGTCCTTGAGGTGGGTCACCCACCAGTTCTGATGAACAAAATATTAAGCTGCGCGACTATTTCTTTTGCGTTACATCAAAGTGTTTGAGGTGGGTCACCCACCAGTTCTGATGAACAAAATATTAAGCTGTGCGACTATTTCTTTTGCGTTACATCAAAGTGTTTGAAGTGGGTCACCTGCCAGTTCTGATGAACAAAACATTGAGCTGCGTGATTATTTCTTTCGTGTTACATCAAACTGTTTGAGGTTAGTCACCTGCCAGTTCTAATGAACAAAACATTAAGCTACCTATCTTGCAGATTTGCCGAGACCTCTGAGCAAATGCAATCTCTTGTTTCACTAGCTGGCACTCCTATTACGATCCGTAATCGTTGACCTTTTTGACATCCACAGGTGTTGGCGTTTTCACTGGACTTGGCATTTGCAAATGTCGTCAAATAATCTTCGATGTGCAAATGCACTGTTTTCCGACGATGAGTTCTTCTCCAGCTATTGGCGTAACAAAACAGCCAGCATATCAAATGACGAAGCCACAATTTCGAAGTATTAATTAAGAGCAGGCCTTACCATCATAACTGTCTCCATCGGCCAGCTGAAGTAATCTTTTTCAGATCTTCTTCAGTTCTAAATTCATCGGGGAAACTCGACAAAACTGAATCTTTCTTGAGGAACTGACCGAGGCTTCCTCTACAAATACTACTACTTAGGCCATACCAGTATTTGTCTGGTGCAAGTACAATACATCATTGTTGATGGCAAGAGTGAAGAGCAAGAAACCTTTCATTGGCACCATCACAATCCTGTTTTTAACCACAAGGCATCGCGACAAGATCTTACGCAGTAAATAGGTTGAACACAGATCAGACAACAACATATGTCAGATGTCTCAGAGGAAGACAGATGACAACTGACCAACACTTTATATGACGGGAACTCATGCCATCACTAACTGCAGACAAACTCTCTGTGTGAAGTGATACTTCCAGTTTTTGCCGCTTGCCTCCCCTCATGTTTTTTTTTTCAATTTACAGTTGTATTTTTGCATTGCTACCTTTTGGGTGAATCAATACTAACTGGCATGCATTTTTTAAAATTGATTTAGACTACGAGTAGTCCCTTTTTTGTTTAGTCTGTCAAGTGAGACCGTAAATAAACTGCAAGGGAAAAATAGCTGTGTGAAATCCTAAGGGTGAGACATATGCGAAAGGAGTGACTACCACCTAAGCCAGAGAGTTTGAATTATGCGTTGCTCTCACAATGCAAAAATATGATTGGCTTATGTTAGGAGCATTGACAACACGTTGTCAACATTCGAGATATGTGTGACATCTTGCAGGAATGTTTATCTTGCTCCCTGAAAATAGCAAGCTTTGGAAGCAGAGCAAGGCGTTGGAATTGCTTCTCACAGGCCGTGATATTCTTGTGATTCTGCCTACAGGCAATGGAGAGAGTAAAATTTATCAAGTGTTTCGTTTGGTAAAGCTTAATTTTGCCTTTAACCCGAATGCGAGCATGTCCTACTCTCTAGGAATAAGGAAGATTTTAGAACAAGTTGACAGAGCAGGGAGCCTCTGTATGGTATTTCTGAAGAAACCAAAGTTGTGACCCTTGCTATTGATGAAATGATAATCTTAGAGATTAAAGCGTATTAAAGAGTATTAACAAGTACATATTTGTTACTCCACCAAGTAGGTCTGTAATCATTATTTTTTTAAAAAGGAAATGCTCTTCAAATACCAATACTGTGATTTCTTCCAAAATGATTTTTCACACAAAAGCAACAATTTGGTTGAAAATAAACAATTACATGAAAGTGTGACATAATCAACTTTTGCAGGTATGGGCCTTATAGAGGCTCAGCAGAATGTCACTTATCCTGTGAGAGAGCTCAAGTGAGAACACCTGTGGCTAATAACTGGACAACAAGCATTCTTGATATCTGAAAATTGGTCTGTACTATTTAGAAAACAGATTTCCAGAACCTGTGCGAAAAAACTTGACTTATAGTAACCATAAATAATTATGGAGAACAAATGAATTTAGATTACGGGGGTATTGGGGTGAAGTGGTTCTGTTGTTTATATAAGATCCAGATAACTTACCCATGATGCCTTATCATCCAAAACCATGAAAGAAAACTGATGCTGGGCATTCATTTTAGACTTGGTTTTTACAAAAATTTCTATTGACCTTTGAACCAGTTGAAATACTGTTCTGTAAAAAAAATGTAAACATAAAAGACATATTAAACGTGCATATGGGTTTTTACATTATTTTATTTAATTACAATTAAATGATCAAATGCTGTATAAACAGCCATATATTATTTTTGCAATTTTTTTCATGTGCTGTTCCTCCCAGTAGAAACTAGTGAGACAATCTCAGATAGTGCAGAGTGCAATGTATACCTCTGGCACGATAGTCACACATGTTGTGTTCACTCCCAGTTTGTATTTACTTTGGTACCTAGGGCTTTTCCCCTTGCAGAATATGATCGGACAGAAACCTTGATAAGAAATAATCTTGTCACAATCTTAGCAGTGCGTATGTTTCATGTCTGTCTTTTCATTCGATGTTCAACAATAACTTACAATTACTCTTTCTCAAGACAACTTTCAAATTTTACTCTGGTGTTTTACGTTGATTTTCGTTCATTTCAAATTCAATAATACGTCAAAGTAGCAAACATGAAAATTTTACTTTTCATGCCAACGTTTGTAACCTGATACTTTTGTTTTTCTCGCATAGGTATGTAACATAGAACTCTTGTTATCTCCTAAACTTTAGAGATAAATGGAAGAAAGTAAATATCTTATGAGGAAATGGATGAAAGTTAAATATGTTGTGAGGAAATGGAGGAAGAACGATTGAAAGATTTTATTTTCACCGATAATTATCAAATAGTCACGGAATACCATGTTCTTGTTCAGTTGCCACCTCAGTGATACCGATTAATACAACTGAGAAGCATTGGTGTTTCAAGAAGAAGTATTAAAGGCCACCACTACTAAGATGACCGAGATGATATATCCTACATCAGTGAAGGAGTCCTCTGAAAGACAGATTAAATTAATTTGCGCTTTCATTACATGCCACGGAGTCTGTAGCAACATTTGAACACTTTCCTGGTTTCTTTTGTCACAGATTCACAATTTGACAAGTTTTAATCCCACTAAATTGGGAAAGTTTGGCTGGATGTAAACTTTTTGACCTCAATTGCAAGAGAAATAAATAATCTGCTAAGGAGAAGCAAAAGGTTTCCATTCATAATTTGAACCCTGGCAAACACACTAGCGTAGTTTGATAATAGCAAATGACATTTGTTCAACTGAGGTGGGGCAATTCTAAAAGATACACCGTCACAGTAGCGTTTTTTTGCACTAAAATGAAGAAGTGACGTTAGCCGAAAAATAACTGCTGTCCTCGGTCATATCACATGACATATAAAAAACCACGTGGCTCTGGGGATGAAAATGGAGTATATCACCCTAACAATGCTGGAATGCATGCGTCTTACATGTTGGGTTCTACCACAGGGAAAAGCACTCAACATTTTTGTGTCATGTGATCTCAAATGAAATGCATCTTTCACCTAATACATAGTCGGCACTGCACACTGTGCATGCGTTTAGGGCAAATTGGTTTTGTTCTAAAGAGAATAGCACCACAAGGAGAGCAAGAGGTTTCCTAAACCAAATGTATAGCTTTGTGATGCTATGAATAAAGTAAGGTAGGTGATACACATTTTTACATAGTGCATACAGGCACCTACCCCTTCCAAACCACTTCCCTGCCTCAAGAGTAATAAATTAATTGATATTAATTAATTAAACAAACATTAAAGTTTACACCTTATTGCCTTAGTACCCTAGCAGACATCAGCCCCCAAAACATCCTAATAGTGCACTCTGTACGGAAAATTAGGCCACACTAAAACCATGGTTGTTAATGAAGTCTAAAATATTGTATATGAAGTAGCTACAGTCTTCTATGCTATGTGACACTAAGTGGAGTGAGTGAGCAGTGTGTTACCTATCTGGAACACTTTTACACTGAAAAGACAGTGATTTCATCTCAGGGGACAAATCAAGACATAGAATCTGAAATAAACAACATTTGCCATTAGTATCAAAATATTATTTCAAGGTATTTTCTTTTCTCATTTGCATATCTTCATTATACAAACAAATTTTGTCCAAGTGAATGCATCAAGTTATTCAAATACCAAGATATATATCTGTAGTTCATAGCCATTTCATAGCCAGAATACCATATCTCTTGAATATGTAATATAGTCATGATTTTTTGCTTGGAATCACAGTACGACAATCACAAGCATGACTGAAACTGTTAAATCCCTAGGAGTCAACCCCTGAGCATATTAACATAGGCATCACAGAAGTTTGTAGCAAATCACAAAACAACACCCCACAGACAAGGGTATTAATTTCAAGCTAGCTTTACGTTGGATTTCCTTTTTGTCACAAGTTTTTTTTTCCCTGTTATCACAACGATCTTAAAACATTTGTACTGCCCAGGGACATTTCATTTGTGAGAGTACCCCTCCCCCGACATCCCGTGACAAACTTAGAATGAGCGCTGATTTCCATGTAATTTCAAATTATTATTATTCTAGGGAACAGTCTGGCATTGTAGCAAAGGCTTCATAAAGTGAGGTAAACCATAATCAATGATGTTATGTTTAAAACCAAAGTACAAATACAGCTGCAAGGTTCAGACTGTTTCATTTCTGCTTACAATATGTTCTGGACAGTTGACACGTGGAACTTTACTTCTCAAACTGTCATTTTCAGATGAACTCTCTGAACTTAATGACAGACTGTCTCCTTTTTCAGCTGTTAGCTGTGTAGTTGAGTCATTTCCTTCTACTGGCTCCTCTTCACCATCTCCACTGACCCGTTCTTCTCCAAAAACATTCAATGTGTCTTTGGTTTCTAATTGAAGCTTGGTAAGCTCAGCATCACATGGTTCACTTGGTTTGTCTTCCATCTAAAAAAAAAGAGCTGTTAGGCTCTACTCTGCCTTTAATTAAACCCTCATAAAATAAACTTCATTTCTTTTAAATCTACAAAGTATTTATGATCAAAATTCTCCTCAAAGATTGCTAAGAAACAGTTGTCTGAGAGATAGGCAGAACAGGGATAGGACCTTGGCTTCTTATCACACATGGAATAGCCATCAGGACTTAAAATTTCATGCATAACTAGCTTCAGCATTCAGTTTACACATGTAGAGCTGTCGACTGCTCAAAGCTGTTTTCTCCCGAGTAATAACGAAAATAGAGGCTTCGTTCGTGGGCCCAGTTATCAGCCAGCGGGCCCAGTTCTCGGCCACAAAAGAGTGCACGCGATTCCTCAGAATAAACAACGCTTTATTACCATTTTTTGTTGTTAAATCACTTATAAGGCTTGTGTTTTGATATTTCGATCACAAATTATCCTTAAAGAGCTTTGTTTCATGTTAGAAAAGGAAGTTTTTAGCAATCTAGTTTTACTCTTAAGTGCAGTCAAGCGAGGCTAAAAAAGAGTTGGGTATTTAAAACGGTGTTAAGTCAGAGCTCATAGTTTTTAGCATGCCACCCCATTACAGCTTTATTTTTACAACTGACTTGACACGAATACTCCACACAAAACTATGAGCGCTT